CACAGGGCATAAATTTATGATTACAAGTGATCCATCTTGACATCCAGCCCAGTAGTCATATACACAGCAATTGAATCACTAAACTAATAAAGAACCAGAGAAATGTGATCCTGGAAACATGGAAGGGAAACAAATGTTTAATAAAAGTAGAAATCAAAATGTATTGTTGACTACATTTTGATGGAGTTTTATACTGAATGCATTTCCTTTTTCTCTTTCTGAGTTCTGATGTTCTGACAGAAAATCCCGTTTCAAAAGATCTTCCTTCATTCTTTTTATCCAGGCAGCAAGTGTGTTACCGCTGGGTAAACCTTTGTTGCACAGCTCTAACAGAGCTACTCTAGAGTAAAACTGGGTATAAACTGCGCTTTCATCAACACCTAGGAGTGACAGATTCCCTGAGAAAGGACAAGGCTTTGTGACAGCCACCACCTTACAGATACCAAGAGAAGCTCAGTTGTCCATTGGGCCAAATCACAAGTTAAAATATATGTCAAAATAGGTCAACACACTTTACAAAAGGATATTCAGTTATTCAAGTGGTTGATGACTGAATCTGAATAATAGTTGAAGGAAGGCAAACATAGAAGAATAGAGGAACTTGTAGCAAATGAGAAAAGATAAGTGGGCTAAAACCCATAGGCATATATCTGAGTGATCAATAACTCAAGCACACTCAACTCCAGCACCCCCATTTTCTCAACACATATGACTTTCCTGAAATTTTTTAATTGAGATTGAGAATTTATGTACAAGCATTTGAGCAGTATTAGCTCAATTAGTAAGCTACCAGACCAAGTAGTCATGGGCAAGAAAGAAGTATTTATGACAAAATGCTGGAAAAGGGGGTCATGGCAATTCTGTTGACCAGTTTTTCTGTCTTTCCACTGATGAACAAAATAGTATTCACAATCTGTATTTATTTACCACTAGTGCACTTTCCCAACGATTCATTTTTTTTTGCTTTTGGACCTATAATAAAATTAACTATTTTATATACTAATTCAGTCTCAATTTATTATATCATACAATGAATTTTATTTAAAATGTTTATGGTTCTCTTCATAACAGGAGGAGGAAAGATAATAAGAGCCAGAGGTAGTGGATTACCCCAAGGAAGTAGAATCTTCCAGACACAACAGGACTGGTACTCATATGACTTTGTGGAGACTGTGACAACACACTCAATATGCACAGGTTCAAATCAGACAAAATCCCACACTAAAAAGGAAAAGTAGACAAAAATCCCACCCTTATGCAAGAAGTGACTTGCAATTGATAACTCCTGGAAAAATTTTTCCAATGGAGTGACACTGGGTATATCAAACAAAATCCAGGGCAGGCCAATGCCCCAGAGTAGATGATCAACACATAAAGACCCCATGTTTTTGTTTTGTTTTGTTTTTCCTTGTGCAATTTGTTTTTGTATTCTTTATCATTTTTTTAGTTTGTTTTGGTTATTGTGGGGCTTTGTATATTTCTTGGGATAGAGAGAAACATGAATTTGGGTTGGTAGAGTGTTGAAGAGAATCTGAGACAGTTTAGGGAAGGGGAGAGAATATGATCAAATATATTGTGTAAAAAACCATCTTTTTATAAAACAAAAATGTTCATTCTTCTCAATGAATTTTATATATATATATATATATATATATATATATATATATATATATATATGTATAGGACTGCTCAAAATTAGGACATTTAAAAGTGTAGCCATATTAAATTTCAACTTGCTACAAAGACTTAGTAATCTGAATCACATAAGAAATAGCCAAAGAAACAGACAGCTTTTTTAGCATTGTCTTTCAAAGACCTCCTAGTCATCATATCTCTTTTCTTTTTATAAACTTCTATTCCTCTTCTCTAGAATAACTGAGCCTCTGACCTTTCTTGAAGATGCTACCATTGGCTGAGATCTTTCTTTCAAAGACTGAACATATAGAAGTATTACCATTTTATCAAGGTTTTGTCATTTGATGGTAATTTATCTTTGTTGACTGTTCATTTCCGTGCATGGACTTTTTACTCCCATTTGAAAATAAAAACATTTATCAGTATCTACTATACACCAGCTATTCTACTAGGCTATATGGTTTTAAAATGTGAAGAATATTAAAATTTTGCCTTCTCCATTCATAACCTGCTTGAGAAGACAGAAATGCAACAAAACAAAACAAAAACTAAATAAAAAATTGGCCACTGGTGAAAGATGCTAGGGAAAGAATGACTAATTAGTCTGAACATTAGAGAGATATTTAGCTTGTAAATATTATATAAATGGTATAAAATTGGTGAGGAAAGGAAGCTAATAAATAAGTTGGGGCTGATAATGTTCCATCCCAGAAACAGACTGCCTAACAAAACCCCCAATATCAGATATGAGAAGCTCTCTTTTGAGTTGTTGGTCCATGTTCCAGTTAGGGTAACTATTGTTGTGATAAAACATCATGGTCAAAAGCAAGTAGGGAGGAAATGGTTTATTTGGTTTATACTTCCATACTACAGTCACTGAATGAAGTCAAGACATGAACTCATGAATATGGTGGTATTCTATTTGTACTGAAATGTGATTTTAATTGTATATTAATAAATAAAGTTGCCCGGGGGTCAGAGCTATTAGAGCCATAGAAAGAGCATGGCGGTAGTGGTGCATGCCTTTAATCCCATAGATCTCTGTGTGTTCAGGGATACAGCCAGCATTGGAGACATTCGCCTTTAATACCTGGAAGGCTGTACATTCAGACAGTGACGAGGCAGTCACGTGTTTGGGTTTATAACCAATGAGAAGGCAGAACAAAATACTATAAATAGACGAACAGACAGGAAATAGGTCTCTTTCGGGAAGCTGGGACACCGCAGGCGGAAGGGTGAGATTTTAGCTCTGAGCTCTGACCTCTTGGCTTTCTCTTTTACATTGGTTCTGTGTTTCTTATTTAATAAGACGGTTGGTTACATCTACACATGAACCATTAAAATCTGGAGGTAGGAGCTGATGGGCCACGAAAGGCTGCTGCTTATTGGCTTGCTCCCCATGGCTTGTTCGTCTTGTTCTCTTATAGAACTCCCATCCACCTGCACAGGGGTGGTCTCACCCATTATGGCCCAGGCCTTCCCACATCAGTCACTAAATAAGAAAATGCCCTAGAGGCTTAGCTACAGCTCAATCTTATGGAGGCATTTTTCAACTGAGGCTCCCTATTTACTAGTGTCTCTAGCTTGTGCTAAGTTGACATAAAACTAGCCAGCATAGTCAGGGTTGTCCAAGAGAGTTGCAAAACTTACAAGCTATTGGTATTGCCTTTGTTTGCTGTTCCCCCAGGATTTGGGAGGTAAGTCCCTACTGCTGAGGATGCCATGCACTTCAGAAACAGGGTCCAGAGTTCCATGACCTAGAATTGTCCTGAAAGCCTCTTCCCTGAAGACTGGACAAGAAATCTTCCAAAAAAAGGAAACAACCAAAACTCCTATTCATACACACACACACACACACACACACACATACACACACACACACACACACACACACATACACACACACATATACATCACTTATGAACCACAACAATGACCAGCATGGCTCTATAACCTTAAAGGTCTAGTAGTAACATATCTGCCTTGGCAGTAACTTAAAGCTCTCCAATTGGAATTAAGACATGTTCTACAAGAGGGATCCATATTTGGTATTGGAAACTTAGTCTAACTACCCAGGACTAGTGAAGTCATGAATTGTGGAAGAGAAACTACAACCACCACTTTATTAAATGACTGTAATCCCTAACAACAATCTAAACATTTATCTTTAGATTCACAGACAACTGTAGTTCTCACCTCTAACCAAAAGAAGTCTTAGCAACAGACTGAAACAATAACAGAAGACCACAACTAAAACAAATGCAGAGTTGTTGGGGCCTCCTAGTGGACACACCTACAAAACAGCTCCTCTACCAAAGGCTCAGTAAACAATGAAAAAGATGGGGTGGAAGGAGTATAAGAGCAAGAGGAGCAGGGAGTTTGCAGTGAGATTGCATCAATTAGTAATATTAGAAGCTAAACCTGTAAAGTGTCATTGACAAGACTGCCTAAATATGAGCAGAACAAGGATGACAACACATATGCCAAAAGGGACATGAGAAAGCCCACAAGGCTTCAACCCCACACAAAGAATGACAGGAAACTAAGGAATGCTAAGAATGGGAGAAACAGTCTTCTCCAGAGAGAAACACACCAATTGGTTATCCAATACCATATGGTCAGCTCTGAATACATATACAAGTAACATTATACAGACTGAGCAGATTGTATGCAGGAAAAAATATATATAAAAGCATGCAGTAACAAGTTAATGAAAAAGGAGGCCATGAATTTAAGAGATTAAAAAGGAAGGGTGAATGTGAAGGTTTGGAGGCAGGAATTGTAAGGGAGAAATTATGCGACTATTACACCAAAAAATTAACTAAATGCAATATATGGATCTCATTTTGATTATTAAAATAAAACAGAGAACTTAAAAAAATGGAATATTTATGGATATTTGATATGATATAATTTGTTGTTTTATAGTATTATATTACTGTATTTACTTACAAAAAGCAAATCCTTCTCTTTTTTGAGAGACTTCCTAAAATAAGTGGAATATGACTGAGATTGGCTTCAAAATGACAAGGGAATGAATAGAAGCATAGAAGAAATAAGACAGTCCATGAATTGAGGATTGTTGATATCTTGAAATGCACATCAGTGTTTATTGAAATGTTCTGTCTACTTTTATGAATATTTAATATTTTCCATGATCAGAAGAATTTAAAAACAGACAAAAGTGAAATTACTGATTCAGGTATTTTTGAAAAAAATATAAAGAGCATGGGTTATTTATAATTAATCATTAGATGAAATGACTAAGATATTTCTCTCCCATTCAATTTTTTAATTAAACACAATTTAAAAATAGTCATGTAATGCTTTTTATGCACAAATCATTAGTCTCTAAAACATCCTACCCTGTGAATGTCATTCTGCTTCTGAACTGCTGGAAAATCACCGCCGATAGGTGCCTGCCGGCTCAACTCATCACCTTTCAGCTGTAGCCACACAAGAAGTTCCTGAAGAGAAAGATGCAGACGCTTCCACTGGTCAGAACTGGCTTCCAAATGGGACCTAAAAATGAACAGGAGCATGCTGTGTCAGAATATCTTGATTTGTAATTGATGAATCTGTTCATTCCATTGCCTTGACTGGATATTGTCATAATACACACCTATTGTGAGCTATATATCATAGCTGTTAATAAAAATCTAGCTACCCGATTTTGCGAGTCATAAAACAAGGTGGGAGTATTCCAATGACAATGTGGAGGCAAGGCCACATTCTGCCATATGTTTCTTTCCACATACAGAATTCTGAGACTTTTGGCATGGCCTGCAAGCTGGAAAAAAATGTTTTCCTATCCTGTTTCAGCCAATGATTTTTCATGTTTCTGGTAGAAAAAGACTTAGACCCAGTGACTAATAAAACCCCTTAGTTTCCATGTGACTCATACTGGAATTCTTTCTGCTTTGAGGAATGGAAATGTCTCTCACCACATTTCGACTTTTCCATTTCTTACACCCTAGGCAGTATTTCCCTTTGCCTCCTTCTGTCTGGTGTCTGGTCCTTTCTGCTCTACTTCTCATATGCTTCTTGTCCCTCTACCCTTTTTTATTCCTCTGCACGTGGGATTTGTTTTTCACCAAGTTCCAACATTTTTTCTCATTGTTTCCTCTGTGTGAAATGTGCAGAGACAAAAACTCACAGTGAAGAGATAGCTTCCCCTAAACATGAATAATTTATGCAGGAGACCGAGTCTTTTACCATCAGCTGTATTTAGAACATGGTAATCCTTAGAAGCCATGTAGGAATACACAAATGAGTGATCTGTGCCACATTTCATTTGAGGAGGAGAAACTAAATTAATAAAATAAATCATCATCCAGAAAACAAAGGAGAAAGTTACAGTGCTTTTTCCTCAGGTCATTCTGCAACCATGCTGCATCACTAACATTTGATCAGCAAACACTAATTAATTCATAAAATTAATGCTGCCTATAACATAAACACACTAAAGTCTCTAGGGCTGCCATGAAATTTAATGCAAAGCAGGCAGGTAGAAGAACATTTCCCTTATCTGCTCAGTGACTTGGCCAGATATTTCCAATACAACTCTCTTTCTGACATTAGAATTACCAGAGTATGTATTTACTATTGAAATTAAATTGTTTCAGATTTTCCAAAAGATACTCTAAAGAAGTCATAAAGGTCTTTAAAATGTGCCAATAAATCTTCAATTTTAGGAATATGGAGACAGCAACTGGGGAAACTCACAAAGTTATAGTTATAGAAGTATTAATTACAGCATTGCTTATCATTGTGATAAACCATAAACTGTAAATATTCAATGCTAAGGAATTTATTACTTCTGTGATTGTAATGTCACATAATGAACTCCTATGTAATATTCAGTATGATGGCACAGGCAAATGTATATGCATATGGAAAATGAGAAAGTGGGTTACAAAAAAGAAATGCAAATTTTTATTTTTTTGTAAGATGTTTGTATGTAGTTAGGTATACATTTGTAAGCACATGCTTGACCTTGCATGGAAATATATCAAATGACAACCAGGTTGTCTTTCAGGGTTAGATTTGCAAGATTTCTTTCATCTTTACACTTTTCCAATCTGTAAGAATGTCAATTCAATAATGCATGATATAACTATATTAAAAATGTAAACTTTTGCTACAAGTGAAATAAACTAAAGGGTTCAAGTCTTTAATGATATTGTTATACAATCAGTTAACCATATCATACCGTGATATGAATACAGTGTAAGAATACATGCAGATTGTATTTGGTATAGAGGTCAGTTCTTTAGGTTTCTATTTCCTCCTTATCTTACAACCATTACTTTCCCCTGACAAACCGAAGTGGGAATTCCCTATGCAAGATTCTAGCTACTTAAGAAATCTAATGAGTACTGCACAAGGATTCTCTGCAAAGTTTGAAAGTTACAGCTTAGTCGCATGGAAGGTGAAAGAAACTATCAGACATGACATTTTGAAAGGTAGGCAGACAAAGGCACATGGAATAGCAGTCAACAGTAGAAAAGACACTGGCTAAATAAATATTTATTGTGTGTCTTTAAGTTGCATGAGGCATTGGGTTGCAATAAGAAGAGGAAAGGGAATGAGGATGTCCAATGCTTGTCTTCCATTTATTTAGTATTTGAAGCAAACTACTGTAGAGGAACATTCCAAAAGAGAATTCATTGCAGGGCAGGTTGCCTATGGTGTGATCACAGGCTGCTGCTTTGGTTATATGGAAGTATCAGAACCACATTTCTAGGATAGGCAGTGGTGGCACACACCTTTAATCTTAGCACGAGGGAGGCAGAGGCAGGCAGATCTCTGTGAATTCAAGGCTTGCCTGGTCTACAAAATAAGTTCCAGGACATCTAGGGCTATTACACAGAGGAACCCTATCTTGAAAAACTAAAACAACAACAACAACAACAAAACACTTCTAGATTAAATGGTACTGACTGATTATTTGTCAGTCAACAAACCATTTTGAGTTCCCTAAGTGGGCGGCATCTGTGAAAGGAGGATATTAAATTCTAAAACATCTAAGAGTAATTTCATAGCATGAGATATGAAGGCTGTGAGAAGCCAGGAGGAGAGGCCAGTCAAGACTGTTAACAGGAGCAGCAGAAGGACGTGGGACCAGAACGCATGAGAAACTGTCAAGTACCTAGGTGAGGGGATGTGTCCTAAGGGATGAGATTTGCCGAAAAATTTAAAATGTTTGTTAATTTTCTTAAAATAGTTCTGTGAACTTACAGAGATCTGCCTGCCTCTGCTTTCTGAGTGCTGGGAGTAATGGTGTGCAGTGCCACACCTGTCTTGTCTTAAGTATGTATCAATGACTCTTTCTTTCTTTTCCTTCCAGAAGACGGGACATAAAGACAAAAGGTTAAGACAGGGATTGTAGGGAAGGGCTGGAACTTAGATAGTCAGAAAATCATATCCAATTTAAAATAATTCAAAGTGGTAGTTCTCAAATTTCAGTATATATGAGAGTTTAGACTAACGCGTTTGAAATCCATATCTCCAGGCCTTGCTCCCCAAATCTCAGCAATTTTAAGAAGTGCTTTCAGAACTCTTCAGCTGAGCTCCAACAACAGTGAGAAATAATTTCTTAAAGCATTAGTTCTTTTATGCTCTATGTGGGTCTTTCTAGGAAAAAGGTTCCTTGTCATGATTTAAAGCATGCCATGATTTAAAGGCAATTTAAATATAAGGAAACTATATTAGGTTGAATAATATTTTATTTTAGCATGTTGATCTTGTGAAATATTTCTAAGACATTTATAATTTATATGTTGGAAGAAGCTACTGGTTTTATTTTAATTACTGCCTATCAAATATTTCTGAACATTAGCCTCTTTTTGTCTTTGAAAAGGTATCTCCTGGAAAAAAAGGGGGGGATTTGATAGCTGCTGTTCCCTGTATTTGGAAAGATGTTTTTGTCATTGTTAGCAAAGGATGTTAGCATTAAGACAAGCCTTAGAGATTACAGTTCAAACACCCTGCTTTGCAATTGAGGAAAAGCAGGACTAGAGGTCTAAAGACAACTGCTGAGGCATATCTGCTATATGGCCATATTTACCCATGGGAATTGAGAATCACAAGTCACCCTTAGATAAGAAAAACCCTTAATTATCCTGGTTTTAAGCAAATATTTTAGATCCTAGAGAAAAATGACCTCTTCTTAGTGGTCAAGTGTATTTTATTTATCCCTACCAACTGAATAAAAGATAAAAAGAGGTAGTTTGAAGAGGCACACAGCATCTACCCACTCCCTATTAATCTTTATTAGTGAAGACAAGAGCTTGGTGGCTACTAGACTCTAAAAAGATAAGTGCTGATCTTTGAAAAACAAAAAAAAATTCCACAAATTATAAGGATTAAGTAAAATATAGGGCTTTTAGGTGTATTGGGATGTGCTGCTTGATATTTAGAGAACTCTTCGGAGACAGCACAATAAGAATTATACAGGATGATAAAGTGCTTGTTATTTCTCTAGATACAGATATTTCAAATGTGATTTGGTTGATGCCTAGTTTGAAATCCTTAATAAAACTTTACTCTGAAAATCACATAGTCTTAAAGCAAATTGTGTTCTCTTGAATTCATTCTTCACTTTGACTTCCTTTATAGAACTAGTGATATATCCCTGGATGTCCTTTGTGGCCCTGTGTGATACAATAGCACTTAAGCAGACACAAAGAAAAGGTACAGATGCGGAAATAATGAAGAACTACAGAAATAAAGTGGGAGCTGCGGAGATTTAAGTAAAAAGAGAGAATTAAACTCCAAGAGAGGTAAACATTTTTCTTTTCCAGCTGGGCCTTGAACTCCAACTTCCAACATAATTAACATTCCAAGAGTAAGAAAAAGGTCAGAGATACTCAGTGTCCAAGTTGCTTTTATTCCCACTCAAAAGTCTAAAGTCTCTTCTTCCTTTTGCGCATTCTTTGTTCTCCTCTATAGAAATAAAAAACCTCTCTATTCTAACTGCTATTCATTGTTGCTGAAGAATGTTAGTGCTCCTGTCTCTCAAACTAATGTTCAGAATTTAATAAACATGAAATTCATATAGTATTTACACATTTTTTCTGCCAAGCATAAAAATATAAAATATAAATTTACTGAAGTTATATCAATAACATATTAAATAATTCTCATAGTGAAATGTATACATAATAACGTGAGTAAAATCTGAATACAGATTAAACAAATTTTCATAAATATTGCTTCTGTAACAAAATTCACTGGACCTCTTCTGAAATTCTTGCTAGTTTTAAATTCAAAGTGAAAGGTTGTGGGCAAAGGTGATTTTAGCATGAGAAAGATTTTCCTTTATTAATTATCATCCTGGCATTGAACAATCTCATTACTCAGTCTGTGTATATATGTGTGTGTACAAATTTCTATGAATAAGTGAAAATATTACTTGATTTCCATCTTTTATCTTGTTCTATGAAACTGAACTATCACTGACTATTTATTTATTAGTACATATTGTGGACAACATGTGATATGATAATGAGTATAGAATAAATGATCCACTTTTCTTAAATGGAACAATGAGTTAGTTCTATATATTTTCAAACAATTTTTTTTCTCAAAAGTATCCTATTTACTTTTGTACTATTATAAACAAATCAGTGCCAGGGAAATAGGGAGAGGAATAAATTGGTAAAGTGCTAGCTGAACAAGCATGGGAATGTTTGTATGGGTCCCTAGCACCTATATTAAGCCAACCATGGTGGTGTGTATCTGTAATCCCAGACCCAGGGAAATAGAGACAGGTGAATCCCTGAGGTTAGTAGCCATACATTCTAGCCAAATTGATATACTTAAGGTTCAGCAAGACATTCTGACTCAAAAAATAAGGTGGGGAGCAATTGAGGTAGACACTGACACTCACCTGTCGCCTCCTGCACACATGTGTATCTACTCACAGGCACAGGTAATATACACGTGAACATGTACATACACTACACAAAACACAATGATTTGTCTGAGTTTTTAAAGTAAAATCCCAGATTTAATAGAGTTGCAGAATTGGAAGAGAAGCTGAAGAGACCATCTGTTTCTGGTCAAACCTCTTCATTTTAGTGTCTCATAGCATTAAAGTACTTAAGCAATTTGCTCAATTACATGTCATGAAGCCAAAGCATGAGAAGAGAAAACAATGATTGGTGTAAGAGGATTCTATTCTTTTAGACTTAATTTGACTTTACACATGTTTTTCCCTTTCCTTTTCTTTCTCTTCTTTCCTCCCTCCTTCCTCTTTCTTTCTTTCTTTCTTTCTTTCTTTCTTTCTTTCTTTCTTTCTTTCTTTCTTTCTTTCTTTTTATTTCTCTATCCTTTTGCCTCCTACTCCTTCTCTTACTTCTCCTCCTTTTCCTCCTCCTCCTCCTCCTCCTTTTGAGATAGGGTTTTTCTGTATAATTCTGGCTGTCCTAGAACTCACTCTGTAGACCAGGCTGGCTTCCCACTCAGAGATCTGCCTGCCTCTGGCTCCTGAGTACTGGGATTAAAGGCATGTGCCACCATCATCTAGCACCATCTTTTATTTAATTTGATGGGAGCCAACAAACATGAAACAACTCATGAACACTCAAAGGAACTGTGTGTGTGTGTGTGTGTGTGTGTGTGTGTGTGTGTGTGTGTGTGTGTGAGAGAGAGAGAGAGAGAGAGAGAGAGAGAGAGAGAGAGAGAGAGAGAGAGAGAGAGAGAGAGTTGCAGGCTGAGCCAAAGATCTTGTTCATGTTAGACAAACACTCTACCACTGAGCCATATACTTAGTCTTTTAAATGTAAATTAGAATAGTTCTGGAAAGAACCAGCAAAGAATAGCACGAATGGGAAATATCTGTTGTAGAATTTGAGTCAAAATTTAAAGAATAAGAGGAGAGATTGTGTTCCAAGCATGAGAACCAGTACATGTCCATACACAGCTCTCATGAGAGACAGGGAACTGCTAGAAATCAAAACTGTCTGAGTAAGCAGAATCTAGTTGCCTCAGAGTTCCATGTTGAGAGGGGCTAGAATGTTGCTTGGTGAGAAAGAAGCACAATGTGGGTGGGGCAAAGGAAGAACAGAAAAGGGAAGAGGTTAGAAACCAAATGAATGAGTAAGATGTGTGCACAAGGACCAAAAGTTTTGAACTAAGGAGTAATATATAGAAATCGTATCATAGGTAGAATATTTCTACACAACTTGCTCTTACTTTCTGAAATACATTAATGGTTTCAGAAGCCCTCACAAAACAATGAACCTACTACACTTTCTTGTATATAATATGCTATAATCTGCAGAATTAGCATTGTTTTCCAAGGATATTTTGAAACATTTAATTTGTAAAATACTCCAATGGACAATCATCCCAATGTTCCTGTATGTTATTGCATAATGTCCCAATTACTACTTCTGTTCTGCCTCTGCTATGGAATGAGTGATACCACTATTCCATTCATGTTTTAAGATAAATTAAAGTATGTGGATGTGAAGAATTCCTTGCTTGTTATAATTGAGTACTTACAATATATTCTAGATTATTACCCACCTATTTGAAAGCTCAAACCATTGATCAGAATATTTAAATTGCATAATTCACAGCATCTTACATAAGCTAAGGTAACTAATTTTTGCTTGATTAATGGCAGTAAGAATTAAACTACAATAGTTGGCATATGGGAGATTTCTGAAAACGAAGAGCTCATATTTTGCCTGAAATGCTGTTTACCACTTCAATTCTTTTATTTCATCAAGTTCACATGAAGGAGAGAAAAGACATAAGGAGAGTTTTAGTTATAGTCCCTTCCATTTTCTTTCCTGAAAAAGGAAATCATGTTTCTTTTCTTCATCCATTGAAACATTTTTTTCTCCTCATGTTTTATTCTTTTTAAGGACAGATGTTACAAATGTGGCCTTTGCCATCAGACACTTTGACCTCTCTTAAAAGTTTAAAATATAGAAAGCTAGGAGAGCCTCTCTACTTTTGAAAATGCCATATCCCATTGTTTCCCCCAACTCATCACTAACACGTAGATTTAAAAAATCATGGGCAGTATACTGAGCTCAAAATGAGAGTCTGGGAGGCCGGGTGCAAGCTTGAAGGAATGCTTTGTAAAAGTAAATCGGTTCCTCAAATCAATCTTTTCAATTATGATGTACTTTTTTTGTGAAATTTTCTTTATTCTTCCCTACAGAATACTCTGTTGATTAAAAGCCTATATGATGAAGTTAGACTCACTATGAATAGGTTTTAGACATGCCATTTGCTAACTGGGTCACTTTTGGAAACTTATTTATCCTCTCTGTTCCTCATTTTCTCCAAATGCTAAGACAATATAAGAAGGAAATCTACCTTTCAGGTTTGCTGATAACATCATGCAAGTCAAACACTATGACCGTCTTAGAGCAGTGGGTGGGACATAACACTTAGCCTGTGTTAGTTCCTAGCATTGTTATTTCATAGTGGGTAGAGGTTTTACAGCAGTGTTTACACTTTACTAACATTTCAGGTGTTCCTCTTTGTTATGAGGGTTGTATGGTGGAATTGCAGACAATTTAGGATAACTATAAAGAAGGGGAAAACCACTTTTTTTGTAGTCATATGACCTCAGGGAAAGTAACTACTCCCACAATTGGATACGTTCTTTTCTATTAATAAGTTCATTTGTCCTTTTCTACCTCTCTTCATGACCACTCCTTTCATAGGCACTGTTGAAAGCACAAACATATCTTTAAAAATAAGTGGATAAGGAAACACAATCAATTAGAAAGCAGGAAGCCTTGCTTCTCCTCCATTTATTTCCCAGCTTGTTAGGTACCACTGGGTACTTCACAGACCTGCTCTGCTGTTTTGTCCCTCCATATACCTATTCTAACCATAAAAGGATTCCTAGACCTTCCCTTTACCTTCGTTAGCAATGATGCGATATGTACAATTTCTCAAAGCAAGCTGATGGGGCAGAAGAAAAAAGTAGGCAAAAAATGAAAAGGTTTAGTGTACCTACAGAAGATGTGCTTCAACAAAATCTAAGAGATCAAATGATAAAAAATTACTATAATCTCCTTAGCTGCAGGAACTCTTGAGAGGGTGTCTTTAAATTGTTAATTATAATGTGTTCTGCTTTTTAAAGAATGTCCTTTGGTTATGCATTTAGAGTAATGCCAAAGAGAATTCCATAACAAACATTCACTAATTTTATTGCTTTTTGTATGACACTATGATAAGCCAAGAGAGAACTCTGAAATTAGGATCGCTGTGCTCCCTATTTAAATTTACTCTAATGTCTTAATATGCATCTCTCCTGTGGTTATGAAACAGTCCCATTTTAATCTAACCTGAACCCTCAAGTATCATTTCCATTCCAAGCAAATGAATGATTCATTTATTCAAAATAAAATGAATCATTTTGAAATTCAGTGATTTACATAAACATGTGAGATACTAGCTACCTGTGCTAGGAAAACGAGGAGAATTTTGTCATCTTTATTCACATCTGGATCCCCCCACCCCACCCGATCGTTGCCTACCTAATGTTGAGAGACTTTTTCCGAAGCTCACTCCACTTGAAATTCATGTTATCCAAACGTCTTTGTAACAGGGCTGCTTCATCTGAACTTTCCAGGGATCTCAAGATTTTTTGGCCATTTTCATCGAGATTGTGATAGATGTCCGTGTGAGCTTCAATTTCACCTTGGAGATCCTACCGGGCAGCAGGAAGAACACATTCAGAATTATCAAACAAAAGGACTAGCTGTGAATGTGAATTTGGAGAACTTAAAAAAAATATTAGTTCAAAAGAAATTCTAATTTGGCAACAAACAAAATGCACCCTGCATAATTTTTCTTGGAGTCCTGCCTCATGAAGTTATTATGGAGATTAAAAATGAATATCATATTAGATGTAATAAATGTATTTATTTTTATGAATTAGAAGTAATATATTTATAGCACATTTCATAAGCTAAACTTTGTAATCCATATATAAAATATTCTGACATAGATATATATTTTATGAAATAAAATGACATTGTAAAGTAGACTCCAGTAGTAATCATTTTATTACAATATGATTCAAGTTGTATTTTCAATGCACATATGAATCTGTTGTGTTGAATGTGACCATAAAAGCATGTAGAGACGTACAACCAATGTTGTATTTGGTCCACAACACATTAATGGGGTTCTATGAGACAAGAGCATCTTCTTGACAACATACCTTAAATTCACCTTAGTACTATGGCATCACACACATATTACATCATCATACATTGATTATTAAGCAGTTAATATACCATTTAAAAATAACATCTTAGTTTCAGACTAAGCAGGTAAAGAGTCCTTGATAAGAGTTAGGGTCTTGGCAAGAGTTAAACAAGAGGTATACACTAAGTTTCATTTGTATAGACACACGTAAAAAACATCATAATACAAAAGTCTGACCTTTACATGATATGTCTTCCTGTGCAACATTTTCAGCTTGAACCGGGGACTACAGCACTGATCCTGTTGCATAGCAAGCCCAAGAAAACTCAGAAACGGAATGGGCCCTGCTTTAAAATGCCAACCTTGCTTACATTCTGTCAACAGAATGAGTTTAAGAGCACAGGCTTGGACAGTCAATAATCATAATTGGCCACTTTGTACTGCTTGCTAAATGGTAGCCAGGCGTGTGGATGTGGGAGGGACCTCAAAGAATGGCGGCCTGGAATATGCAACTGACAGTTTATATTAAACAGCCAACTTTTCTTATCATTTTGCCATAATAAGCCAGAGACATTATAAATTCATTTTATATATGTGTTTTCCTCCTTGTTCCCAGCAGAACAGTCAAAGCCAAAGGAACATTCCTTAGAGAGCTGCCGGGTTCCAGCATTCCATTCTGCCTACACAATGAATGGAGGCTTTGTACATTATTTGACTTGCTCTTACAGATTTGTATGCTTCTGTTCAACAAGTTTAAAAATTCATTCTGAAGCTCCGAAAAAATTGGATTGATCTGTGTGACTAAAAAAGTTTTCTCCGCACCCCGCCCCCCATCTCGTACTCTTTCTAAAATGTAATTAAATGACTTTGCTAAAGTAACAGTGGAAGCGGCAGCAGTAACGTTAGTAATTCTAAAGAAGTGCCTCATGTTTCCATTCACAGTCACTATAAATGCAGAAGTTTGAGTGCTGCACAAGTAGGGGAGATGGACAATGAATGTTTCTTGTCACTATTTTTGGCAGCCGAAGTTGTCCCGATGGAGTCTGAATCCTGGAAGAGGAATACAGATGGGACGACCTCGGATGCTAAAGGAAGGAAGAGAATAAAACAGAGGGAAGAACATCTATCCTTATCACACAAAACTTGGGGCTGTTTGGGGGATGTTATAGCTGGATTTTAAAACTAGAAAATATAGTAGAAAATTATTCATGAGTTTCTTGCTGCATGGAGTTTAATCAGATAGACATCATTTCCAGGGTTCTCTTCTTTCTCCTTCTGTCTCTCTGGGACACTGGGACACACACACACACACACACACACACACACACACACACACACACACACACACACACACACACAGTTTCACTATGCTGCTCAGGTTGGGCTAGGACTCAACGGTTTTCCTGTCTCAGTCTTTGAAATTTTGTTGTTATACACATGCAACACTATACCTAGATTTTTGCTTCTTCATTTTCTAAATCTATATAGTACACCGAATTTGCCATTTATTCAGCAAAAGAGAAAGGTGAGCTAATTATATAAATAATTCAGGACAGAGAAGCAGACCTAATTTTGAGAGCATTCCCTCCTGTGTCTCTCTCAGTTTGTTTGTATACCACCTAAAGTTTCTTTCCAGAGAATGCATTCAGGGAACCAAAATCATCATGTGCATGTTCAGAAAAACTAATGCATTCTCCCTCTGTCTCTCTGTTTGTCTCTCTCTGTCTCTCTGTCTCTGTCTCTCTGTCTCTGTCTCTCTCTGTCTCTGTCTTTCTCTATCACACACACACACACACACACACACACACACACACACACACACACACACACACACACTTTCTCTCTTTCTGGAACTGAGATGATTCTGAGGGCACAACACATATGAGGCCTCTACCACCATTGAAATACATCCCCAGCCTCAGAAAATAATTTCACCAATAGAATGATTGTTCAAATACCCTTACCATATGAATGATCACACATTTGAGTTTTTCTATCTTGCCCTGATAGCAAAGACCCAGTCTTAATTACTAATTACCTAAATTCATGTGCAACGTGAAACCATCAACACTTTTCTTTGCTGAATAAGTGAGGAATTCTGAGGTGTAAATAGAATGCTGATTCATTAATGGGCTAATTTTCTTCTTTTCCATGACTGGGTCAAGTCTACTGCATATAAATATCTTTGTTGTCTCATTAACAAAGAAAGGGACACAAAATGAATAAACAAGTATTCATCTAGTACCAATTATTTGTTTAGTCTTGACATCATGGTAAATATAAGAGGAACGCAAGTGATAGTTTTGTCTTTAATTTTTAAAGTCAAGTGTGTATTTTTCTTTTAATTCATTTATATTACTGAATAAATATTGATGAGGAATTCTTGCCAAATCTCATAAACATTAGGAACAAAACTCCTCCCTTTAGAAAGAAGCACTGACTGAAGTATATTGTTAGTACTGGCAGGCAAAGCTTACATCAGTTATTATAGTTTTCTATGTCATGATGGGAGTGGAGGGCAACAAATTAAAGAGGTTCAGTAAGGGCTTTGTATGTCACAGATTTCTAATGAATCTGCCACCCTAGTCATTTCTTCTTAGCCCTGGCTCCTGCTGGAGCACATCTCCTTTTCTATGTGTCACAGATAAGAGAAGTTTAACTGATTTGCTTAAAGTCACATATCCAGCAAATGTCAGAACTGGGAAATTGATCTGGTTTTCTTAACTTTCCCAGATATTCTAGACTGTTTCCACTAACGTATTGTGTATACGCATTAGATGAAATATGCAGTGGTAATTGAAGGTGCATAAAGCGAACTCCAGTGGTGAAAAAGAAGACACTGAAAGATAGCATTAATAATTTTGATTTAAAAAAACCCACACAAAACATTTACCCACATAGATCACTTGTTTTGAGTGAAAAATGAAATTCTGACTAGATTTTTCATTTTGCAACAGGACATTCAGGACCACCTATAAGACATACTACATTAAAAATTGTCCCTTTACAATAAAATATTTCTGCTGTCAGAGAATAAATTATCTCAGTGATTCATCTTTTTGTTTACAAGACCTTGGGGACAATTAGTTACATCAAGCAATGACCTAAAATATCAATATAAACATAGTTCTGTCTTGTTCCTTTGGGATGGCAGACTAGCACTAAATCTGTCAAGCTGTAGAATTCATGTACACTGCCTTGAACCTGAAGTGAATGTTGGTAAGGGACACAGGGCTCTTGCTTAAAGGTTATAATGAAGAAGTTTCACCACCATCAGGCAGTGTGAGCTGTAGGTTAGGAGGAAACATAGATATAGCATGTAGGATGAGGCATACATCTATTTGCATAAAATTACCAGGAGGTCATTGGTCTTAGGCTAATATTAGACTTAGGAAACATAAAAAAGCAACAAGTCCATAAAGATAATAAATAGGATTCTCAGAAGGTAATTATTCTGAATCCAGGCAATTTTCCCGGGAAATTTTAGTTTTATTTCATTTCTGAACTAACTAGAAAAGATCATTCAAATCATAAGTACTATATCCATTGTGGGATAAGTGGTTTTCCACTGTTCTCTTTGTGATTGTATTTTCTTAGGCAAAACAATAGCTAGTGAATAGTGGAACAATATTATCTATATAAACAACAGCAACAATATATGTAAGACTTATTATGCACTAGGCACAGCTCAATGAACTGTATATGCAGAAGCTTATTTAATCTTTTCAATAATACTCTATAGTAAACAACATTATTATCTTCATTTTCTATGTAAGACAATGAACTTACAGTACAGTTAAAAATGCCCCAAATCACAAAATATTGAACAAAATCTTACAGTGCTGTAAGATTTTGAACCTAGATACTTGAAGTTCAAGGCTTATGCTCTATAACCATAAGGGTACATTACCATTACCTCTGAGGTTTTAACTGACTGCTGATAACTTTTCCTATTAATAATATTCCCTCATATATTTCAATAAACATAACATTTCTGTGAGATAGTGAAATCTTCTTTTCAGTACTCCAAGAATGATTTGATGATTTTACTTTTCTGGAGAGTGTTAAATAGAGCTGAAATAGTGGGTGGAGATACAATGAGAAGGAACATGACGTTGAGAAAATGAGTGCAAATGGAAAAATTCTATGCACTCCTGGAAAAAGAAATTTGAATTTTCAAACTCTCTAATTCTGCAGAAAATTCATCAATGAGCACCAAGAGTGCTCTGACATGATATAAGAAATCTGATCAGGGTTCACAATGTTAGTGTGGGTACACTGCTTCAGGTGGGAATTTCAGAAATCTCACATGCCCCTTTCCCTTGGGAGTCTAATCTCTTGTTATAAATTCCCCCTTTCAGTACCCAAGGAAAGCTTAGGGCAAAGCAGCTAAACAGACATAAGTTTGATTCATCCTCTAAATAGACATTAAGTTTGATTCATCCTCTTACTCTTTCCATTATTAGCAGCTTAACTTTGGAAATGCTTTCATTTCTT